CGATGCTGATACTGTCATAATGGCTGACGTTACTTATGGTGAGATTAATTTCTTACCTCTGATATTTTTGAAATTAAAAAAAAAAAAAATTTATTTTTTATTTTTTAAACATTTTTCTAGATAAATTAATATAAAATGTTGAAAATTTTTCGCAGGTGCCTGCTGTGTAGATGATTTCACGGCAAAAAGATTGGGCGCTGATTTTTTAATACACTATGGCCACTCTTGCTTAATTCCAATTGATAAAACCAGTGGAATCAAAATGTTATACGTTTTTGTAGATATTAAATTTGATACGGTCCATTGTATTGAAACGATAAAATTCAATTTTCCAAATACGACAAAAATATCTCTCATTGGTACCATTCAGTTTGCCAGTTCACTGCAAGCTATAGCTACAGAGCTGAGAAAATTTGATTACAACATTACAATACCTCAAATCAAGCCGCTTAGTCCTGGAGAGGTTTGTTTAGCTTTAAACATTTTGTTTATGTGAAAAAAATTTTCTTTATTAACGTAATGAAATTGTAGGTCTTGGGCTGCACAGCACCAAGAATCAAAGATGTAGATGTACTGGTATATATTGGAGATGGAAGATTTCATTTAGAAGCGGCCATGATAGCTAATCCCAACTTGCCTGCTTACCGTTACGATCCTTACGAGGGTAAAATCACGATAGAAACTTATGACCACGAAGAGATGAAGAAAAACAGAAAAGATGCAATGGATAGGGCAAGGAACGCTAAAATGTTTGGAATTCTGTTTGGCACTCTCGGAAGACAAGGTAGTCCAACTGTTCTGGACACAATAACCAACCGATTGCAGGCTTTGAATAAAAATTACATGGTTATACTGACTCCTGAAATCATACCTGAGAATTTAAGAGACTTAAAAGACATAGATGCTTTTATACAAGTAAGGAACATAATTTTAAAAATATCCGTTAAATCTCTAAAATTCACGAATAACTAATGTATTTGAATGAATTCCCTCTCTTTCCAGATTGCATGTCCAAGGCTCAGTATAGATTGGGGAACCGACATGTTTGAGCAGCCACTCCTCACACCTTACGAGGCAGCAGTGGTCCTCAAAATGATCGAGATGGACGAAAAACAACCTTATCCCATGGATTATTACTCAAATACGAGTTTAGGTCCATGGACTCCGAATTTCAAGCCGAGTGACTTGGCTAAGCCTAACGAATCCTGCTGTGGTAAATGCAAGGACGAAACAAATACCGACAAACCGTGCAAATGATCCAATCGGTCGATTTATTATAGGCTTATCTCAATCAAAATAAGATATTCGATGACGGTATGAAACTTGTAAATACGAAAGTTTAAAAAAATAAAATAAATTTCTATGGTTGTAAAAATGATTAAATTATTATCCGCTTTCTAAATATAGTAAAATTTTTTCGGGTACTCGAGTATTTCGATCACGTAAGCTTCTCGAAGTTGATTAGAGGCACGCAAGCTTCGATCTCAAGAGCTCTACCCTTTATTGGATTACTTCCCATTACCCGAACGTGCATTTGAATAAAAGGCATCTGCGCGCGCTCGCAATTGAATTTAAGCGCACGGAATCGATGCTTTAATGAAAAAAATTAATCAAAACGCTCGCAAGCGCGAAAAAAAAGATACTTTTTTTCGCAAATTGAATTTGTTCTACAATCTTATCGCATTTTCGTACACAGTTACGAAAAAAAAAAAAAAAAAAAAAAAAAACTCGTCTGCGCCAGTACAAAACAAGCATAGCCAGGGAGCTTCTTCGAGTCTGCAAAGACGAAACGGTGCATTAATTAAAGAGACGCGCGCCCGGGCTCTTATAGGTATATATAAATATACACACGATGTATCGAAGAACCCCCAGAGGCGGGCTCGTGTGTATATATACCGCTCTGCGGCACTTCCAATTAGCACGCCCGCGTATACGTATGTGCACCCTCACACAAACTCGGAGTTACCTGCATGCACGCGTGTCGGCGTGTGTATACATTTGTACTCGTACGTATCGACATTTCGATCGAAACGCCACATCCAAATGATGCACTTCGACGGGGGGGGGTGGGTGAGAGAGAGAGTCAAGAGGCTTAACGCCCGATTGCTACTGTATACATGTGTACTTACTCGTTACTGTCGCCGCCGAGTGCGGGATGTTGACAAAAGAGGCACGGGGAAGACGACAACTCGTCACTCGACGAGACAGAGAGAGATTTCGTCTGCAATCGAGTGCGTCGGGGAAGGGGGGGGTGAGGAGTTATTGGTTTCTACTTCTATGGTGGTTGATCAAGGGGATGTTTTTTTGGTTTCGTCCGGCGGGGTTGAAAGTAAAGAAAAGTCGAGAGGTCACGCTGGAGAGAGGCGCCACTGGATAATGATTACTATCGGCAAACGGCACGAGACCGTCGCTGGTTCAATTATGTACGTGGTTTACTTGTACGAGTCCACTGAATTTTTCCTCCACCCGTCGCGGGTTCATGAATTATTTTAGCGTCGACCACGCTGTGCTCGGGTATTGATTAATTCAATTATCGACGCTCGATTACGCACTTTTTTTTTTTTTGTTTCCTAGAGCGCACACGGTGTGTAATTTAATGAACCCGCTCGACGAGCAATTTTTTCACGCTCCATTTGAACATTTCGCAGCTGCCGCATATCGGCACCAGCGGGGGGAGGAGACTATACTTCCCCAGACGCGTCCCTGCATTATATACCCGAATCGCGTCTCGATTTTTCATCCGTCTAATCAACCCATTTTCGCAGTCAATGTAATTCGCAAGGGGTGTTAATTATCATGATTCTTCCCTGGGGTGTTGCGTACATCCCGTCCTTTTTTCGTAGTGCTGCTCGCGAACGTCAATCAGCCGAGGAGATCCGAGTGGAAAGCGCTACTGTGGGAGGTGTGGGAAAAGAGAGGGACGAAACGAGACAAAAGAGTGGAAAGACTCGGAGCACCGCACTGTATATATATTTATATGCGGTGACGATGGAAACAGCTGCACTCAGCCGGATTGTTGGTCCTTTTTTTTTTTTTTTTTTTC